TTATCTATTAAAGAATCTTTTAGAATTAATTATTTTACATATTTATTTGATCATGTGATTTCCTCTCTTCAAAATAGATTTGAACAATTTAAAATATATGAAGATAATTTTGGTTTTCTTTATAGTGTAGAAAAATTAAAATCAATTGATGTTGATATTTTGAAAAAAAAATTGTTTAAATCTTGAAAATTTTCTAAAGCACGATATGCTTTCTTATATTGATGGTTTAGATTTATTTTCAGAATTAAAAGTTTTAAAAAAAATTATAACTATGGAAATGAAAACACCACTTGTCATACTAAATTTTATAAAAAAGGTAAATTCTTTTCCAAATGCATGGATAGTATATATAATACTATTAACTATCTATGTTATTGTAGCTTCGGCTAAAAGAAGTTTTTCAAAATTAAAATTAATAAAATCGTATTTACATTCAACTATGTCATAATAAAAATTAAGTAATTTGACTATATTATCAATTGAAAAAGATTTTCTTTGTAAATTGAATACAAAAATTGAATTAGAAATTTTACATCTCGGAAAGAAAAAAAAAAATTTAAATAATATTTAATATTTAATATTTATTTATTTTATAAAAGAGTCTCTAAAATATTATTTTATCTAAGACTACGTATATTATAAAGCCGACCCTGCATCTTCATACTTATTCTATTCTTGTTTTTTTTTTCCCTACTATCTTCGTACCTATTTTCACTGACTTGAAAAATAAAAGAAACTTTTAATGATTTGGTAAAATTTAGACTTTTACGTCATGGCATTTGCCAAACTTTCTAATCACGGAATGGTCCAAGTTGGTCAAATTTTCATGAGGATGGACCGCTAGAGGAGTGTTGACAATGGTCAATTTACTTGGGCAGGAGGAAACCTTCTTCCTAACCATATGTATTGTGATATTACACTACCATGTGCCATCAAAAATATATCATTTATGTTTTAAATAAATATTTTCTCCTACCAGTTTTGTTTTGTTCATAAATATTTTTTTTTTCACTTTTTTTCACTTTTGTTTTAATTTACAAGATTTTTTTTTCACACATGTCATTTGAATACAAACTCATATAAAAAGAAATTAATGTCTTTAGAAGATAGTTTTTTATTCAACGCTAAATAGTATTCCTTAATCAGTTTCCATGTCAACTAAAATTATATCTTTTCTTCAAATGATTTTAAGGATTCACCCTTCAACCTCATATAGTCTGGTGCATTTAGAAGAATGTATTAATTCTTTTAAGGTTTTGTCTCAAAATTTTAATCCAAAAAATTAAAAAAGCATAACTATTTTAACCATCAGACCAGCACTAAGGTTATCTTTTGGAAATTAAGATGATAATGGACCTTTTTTTTTTTTTTTAGAGAAAGAAGGAGATAATTAATTGACAAAAATCAGATTCTTAACTTATATATGAGGGTGAAATGTAATTTTTATATATAAAAAAATAAGATATATTAACTTCTAATTCAAAAATTAAGTACGAGAAGTGATGCTTTATTTTGAGATGAAAGACGGCTTATTTTCTTTAAAAAAAATAATCTTAAATCATAACAATAGTACTAATGTTCTATATTTTATCTTAATAACCTTAATTAAATCATAGCAATACTAGTGTTTTATATTTTTATTTTAATAAATAGTTTTCATTTCACACTTTTTCTGACTTCACTATCCTTCTGCACTATACCATTTATTTCTTTCATTATACCTCGATAAAACCTAATGTATATTTAAAGATAAAATTAATTCAATTAAAAATATAAAAAGGTTCACAATTATTGAAAAAATTTTGAAACCCATTGGGCATGCTATTAATATTTTAATTAAGATTCATATGATATTTTTGTTCTTCCAGTTCAACTGCATGTCATAAAGAAACTTTGGAACACCATCAAAGAGAATAAAGAGAGCATCCACCGATGTTATGAAGATGATGCCCTTGAAGTTGGAGAAAAAAAGTTTGTGAAAATAGTTTTATTGGATGCTCTATTCATCTTGGAGTACTTGTTAAGGCATGAAGATATAGAAAAATACAAAAATGATTTTATGTTGAGTAAAATGAGGTTTTGGATTCGATATTGAGACTTGATGTTGCTTGAGAATCAGTTGCCATTATTCATTCTTGAGAAATTTTATGACCACCTTGTTGGAGATGGCGAAGAAAAATATACTCGTTTTCGAGATCTTGCCAGTGATTACTTCAATAGGCGCATTAAGAGTAAATTCAAGCCGAGCTTTTACGAGCAGATATTTACATTTCAGTGATTTGGTCAACTTTGATGTCAAAAACCATATCAATCTAAAAATTTAAATTATTAAATAAGATTTTATGATATAATTTATATTATTCTTTATATTTTTTTATGTAAAAAAAATTATTTCAATTTAAAAATTTAAACTACTAAATAAATCTTTAAAATATGATTTACGTTGATACCTTCTTTATCTTAAGCCAAAGTTCGATTATTTTACGTTATTTATTTATTATATTTAAAGATAGTGTTTTCGAATTAATTTTTATATGAATAAATTAAATCTATCAAAATTAAATTCATTACTTTTTGAACTAAACTTAGAGCCAAATAATTTTTAATTTTTAATCAATTTTAAACATCCGAAGATTTTGAGTCTACTAATAACTGATCTCTAGGAGGAGCAAGCACATATCTGAGTGTCACACCAAAAAGAAAAACGAACATTTCAAAAATGGGAATCGAACTCTGAATTAACATTTTTTTTTTTTTTTTTTACTATTCTGCCTGCACCTTATATGGTTTTTAATTTATTATTATTATTATTATTATTTTGTTATGAAAAAAAAAAAAAAAAAAAAACCAACGCAAAAGGGGGCGAACCAAGAGGCCAATGCAAAAGAACAGAACCTATAAAAAGAGGCCATTAAAATGAAGGCCTAACAAAGACGCGTTATAAGTGATGCGAATAAAAGGGCCGAAGTAAAACTAGAAACTCTGGAGGCAGAGGAAGAAATGGAGAAGAAACCTTCACTGGAGGCCCAGGCGTGGCCCAGTTTGGGTGCTAGGAACTTTGCAAGCATGGCCCAGGTTCAGCTGGGCCATGTCATCCCATGGGAAATAAAAGTGTGATTATGTTTAGTTAATTAACGGTTTGCGGAAGATAATTCCTTATGCAACCAAATAACTAGAAGTGTAGTTCAAAAATATTTTAAAAGCTTAAATAAAAGAAATTAGAGGTAATTAAAAATGGGTGGAAGCAAAGGACTCGTTCTAATTGCTTGGGATTGAGGATGTATATGCAAAAAGCAATTAAGAATTGGATTCAATTGCACTGTGGAGAACTTACTCGATCAATTATAACTTTCAGACAAAATTTTGTTTTTTTTAACTTAGACGTCCAAGACTCCTAACATACCAGTCTTTAGGATTTGAAACCAAACTTTCACACAAACTGGTTTTACATGACAAAATACTAATTCATTCAAATCTTAAACTTTTATATATGTGTGTGCGCATGCGCGCGTCAAAATAAAAATATAAATAAAGGTTGTGATATTTTTTTCTTTTTATGATTTTGTTATTTGATGAATTGTGTCATAAAAATAATTGCTTTCATTTTTTGAATTAATCCAATGTGTCAGAGTTCATTTCTTAAAAGCACATACAAAGTAAAATAATTCTATTTCAATTTAAGATAGACTAGATGATTAAAAAATTTTGCTTCCTTCTTTTAACTTTTTGAATTTAAACTTTAACACCGGCAATTATAAAAATTCATTAAATTCTCTGAATGAACTAAATTAATACCGAAAATGTGTCTTTAAGATTGTTAGAAAAAAATTTAGTTTTGATTGATGCGTAAAAAAGCCGGACTTCGATTCACGAGTCATTGAATCCGAATCTACCGTAAATGAATAATAATTACTGTTAAAATGTTTCGGTTCTTTTAGTTTTCTTTGGAATGATAAGTTTAGAAAATTGTTTGATAAAATGCCTGAAATAGCATGGTTTCTTAAAATGAATTAATTTTTACTTGCAAAACTAGGAAAAAACAATGATCAACTCCTGAAGCTACTGAAAACAGAGGCCATAAAAGGCAGGCTGAATGAACATGCTAAATTCGTATTCTTGCAAATCTCATAGACCAAGAGTTTCCTTTAGTTTGCGATGACATTGATCAAGTCTCTGATCAGTTATCATAATATTAGCATTGATTACTTTGTTGAATTATGTTGTTATCCATCACTTTCATGTCTTATAATTGTAGGCTATGATTCATGTAGCTAAATGAATAGTTGATAAAATTTCAATTGAGATCCTACAACTTTTTGGATTTTCTAATTGAAACAACACATTGCATGCATTGATTATTTTGTTCAATTATGCAGTTATACATACCTTTTATGTAATACAATTGAAATAAATATATTCATGTATTCTTATATAATATTCAAAGTTTTTTATTTGTTTTTAAATTTTTAATTACATCTCATATGTTTTTTAAGGCATTTAAACTATTCAATCTATCTGTCCGATCATATAAAAAAATTTTACAAAAATTCTTCTGATTGAAATAAATAAACAATAAAATAAAATTCTAAAGACTTCAAAAATAAAAAATAAGATACTTATATATTCTTATATAATATTCAAAGTTTTTCAAATATTTTTAAATTTTGAATTGCATCTCATATGTTTTTATAAATATTTAAAATTTTTAATCTATATTTTCGATCACGTAAATTTTCTGTTGTATTTACTAATTTTCTGATATATTCTTCCGTCCCAGCGTGAACTTAACCATGTAGCTTGGTACTCAATGTTGAGGTTCACAAGAGGAGAAAAGGAAAAGTCAAACACCTTTAATGCTTGCCAAGTTTTTTTTTTTTTCCCCTCCTTTTTGGCATTGGAGGCGTTGGAAAGAAAATACCTTGGTCATTCATATAGGCAACAAGGTTTTTCCAAAGACATGATAAGTAGGCTAATCATCATTAGTGACGGTGAAGATGAAAATGTTGGTAATAAAAAGCAGAATGAGGAAAAGCATGAAAGGAACAAGATAGGTGGATGGTAGTAAGGATTGAGCAAAGAGACACCCCTCCACTCTCCCTTTGCACTTCCCACCCTAATTCTATATCTACTGCACACACTCTTTTTTTTATTATTATTCTTTAAGATATCTCGGACTTAAAGATTCGGATTGATCTCTCGTTGTTCGTCAAACGCATAAAAATAAGATAATTATTTTAAGAGTTTTTTACACACATAAATACTCGAACTCAAAACTATTTACTTAAATAACTAGAGTTTCTTCCACTCAAACTAATTCTACCGTGCACTTTAATTCATAAGATTGTCTCTTCTCCTTTTATACCTTTTTCTATTGCTTCCTTTTTCCACTATGGCATATTTCTGCAACACTATCTTGCCTCCACACCCTTTGAAGAACCCCAGCATCTACACATGGCCTGTTTACTTTGAGCTGAGCTTTTCATATTTTTAACAAAGTGTTGGGTCAAAAGCAGGCCAATGCCACTTTCCATTGATACTGCTGTTGGCAAATTTTTTGCAAAAGAAACAACACTCTCTCAGAATCTGCCTTCTCTTTGTGGCTGCCATATCCATCAATTTAATGTTTTTATTTATGTTTATAGAGTATCTTTTAGGATTTGGTTTTAACTGGTAAATTTGTATAAATAATCATACTAATTGTGCATGAAATCACAAAGGTAAATAAACAAATTCAGAACCAAAGTAACAATTGCTTGTAAATAGTTTCACTAAATTAAGATAGTAATATTCAATTACTATCTGAATTTCACTATTTAAGTGCCAAAACAATCTTTTTTGTTCGTTCATTTTTTCTATTTTACAGAGAATTTGCAAAGAGTTTTTCTTTGTTTTTATTCTATTATATAATTAATTTGTGCTTATCTATTTTCCTTTTATATATATATATATATATATATATATATATATAAGAGTTAGGAAAATAATTACTTATCCTTTTTATATTTTTATTTTAAATAATTTTATTGTCAGGTCAACCCATGATATAATGTTATACTTACATAATTGCATTTAAGAATTGACTATCAAAAAATAAAAAAAACCATTAGATAGGTATCTCATGCATTAAATTAGCATTGATGTCATAGTGACTATTATAAATTCAAATATTTATTTATTTTTGTAAATAATTAAAGAGTTTATATCTCAATTATAGTTATTTTTTTTATAAAAGATTACGGATTCAAATCTTATCATATTAATTCTGCTAATTAAAAATCTTGAATGTGTGTGTTGATTGTATGAATTATAAAAAAAAGATATATATATATATATATATATATATATATATATATATATATATATATATATTTAAAATAAATTCTGTAAAATAATTACGTAAGAAATCATTACTCAAAATTAATATTATCATTTTGAATTTAAATTCAATAAGAGAATATAAGGAAAAACAAATAAATAAACCGAGTTAGGATCGAACAATTAGCCCAACACGAAATCTTGTTTTGATATAGGGAAGTAATTTCTACCTGTTTCAAATAAATTAGAATGTCTCTTTAATTTCTAATTTTTTTCAGAACAATTTGAGAGTCGATGAACAATACTTCTATCCTCTTATCTTATCTTGATTTTTTTTTTTAATGGAGTTTTTCGACCAAAGCTGAAACAATAACGACTAACCGTCTGTCTATGTAAAGCCCAAAGAAACAGAACCGTCGGATTTGACAAGAAATCAGAGCACAAACAAAATCAAGCACACATTTTTGTTTCTCGTAAAAATCAAATCCCATAAAACCCAATATCCCAAAAGCAAAACTGGTGGATAGAAACAGGTAAAACGTGAACGCTTTTAGTAGATAGAAAGCAATCACTTTCTTGTGTTTTTGTGGGGTTTATAAAGGGCGGAAAGATAGGAGTGTGTGTGTCAAAGCCAGCTGCCGCAGCAGCAGCACGGGAGGAGGTAGTGGTGAAGAGACTATCGCCACCGCCACAATCACCGGCAGCAGCGGCAGCGGCAGCAGCAACAAAGGGACATTCAGGGTTGTCGAGTTCGAAATCGGGACATTCAGGGTTATTGACTTCGAAATCGGGACAGTTAGTGAGTGATTCGAAGAGGATGAAGGGACTTTTCAAGTCAAAGCCGAGGACTCCGGTTGATGTTGTTAGACAGACTCGCGATCTTTTAATATATGCTGATCGGAGTTCCTCTTCTTTGTCTGATTCAAAACGAGACGAGAAGGTTGGTGCTCTTTCGTTATTCATTTCTGTATATTTTTGTATGTGTTTGTGTTTATTTTATTTTATTTTATTTTTTAATTTGAATGATTTGAGATAGTTTTGGGAAATGGGCTGTTTTTGCTTTTCTGTTTTAGATGAGAAAAGTTTGAAACTTTATTAAAAAAGTGAGGATGTTTAGATGATGGTTGTTTTAGATGGTAGTATACTATAATATGCTGTGATCTTTACGTATATAGGAAGGAATTGTTAATTTGTTGAGTGCGAATGTGATTGCGATGAGTTTAGTTTGCTGGTAAAGTTTAAACTCAGAGTGGCTGGGTGTGTCAAGAGAGGATTCTGATATTACTGGCAGCGGGTTGAATGCAAAGGCTATAACTTTTTAGTGGCTTTAGTTGTTGAGGGAGTCAAAGTGGAAGCTTTGATTGTAGGTTTGTGAATTGGGTGTGATCTATGGTCCTATATGTGTCTTTGATTTGTTTGAACTTGTTTGTTCATAATAGAAGAATAGTCCTACTGAATTTTGGCAAGTGTAGTTGTAAGAGTGTCTCATCAAGTATTAGGGTTACTTACAATTTCTTGCTTGTGTTCAATGTTTTGATAAGTGGTTTTGTTCAGTAGGGTTGCTAGGGAATTTAAGCTTCTGTCGAGCAACTTATCTATGAAATCTGAATTTTACAACTGTATTTTCTATATGCAGATGGCAGAGTTAGGTAAAAGTATCAGGGATTTAAAGTCAATTCTTTATGGCAATAGTGAATCTGAACCAGTCGCAGAAGCGTGTGCACAATTGACTCAAGAGTTCTTTAGAGAGAATACACTTCGCCTTTTGATCATTTGTCTTCCAAAATTGAACTTAGAGGTAAGTACATGCAAGATAATCGGGTTTATGCTTTATGCTTGCCCTGGTGAATATGTTGGATTAAATTCTCATCTGGATAAAATTTGCACTTAACTGCCGGTCTCTCTTTTGTCATTTAGCACGGCTATGTTTACTTTTGCAGGCCCGAAAAGATGCCACTCAGGTTGTTGCAAATCTACAAAGGCAACAAGTTAATTCAAGGTTGATCGCATCAGACTACTTGGAGAAAAATACAGATCTTTTGGATATTTTGATAGTAGGGTAAGCCATTAACACTGGGGAATGTTGGGGGTTGTGATTACAATGATTCTGTTCAATAGGTTGTCGAAAATTATCAAGATGATTCTTGGGTTAAATTTTTAACTTGCTGCATATTTTCTGGCTTCTTATGGATAACTATTGGTATCTTAATTGTCACATCCCATTTAGTTTTAGCATCTAGTCTCTGTTTAAAGATGCCATTAGTGATCTGTTTGATGAGTGATGCCTTACTTCTATTTGGGTGTCTGGAAGTTGTATTCAGCTGTTCTATGTTTTTAATTTTGAAATTTTTATAATGCAAGAGGATGTTGCTGTTTACAGGAACATGATTTTTTCTTGTATACTATACATCTCGGCATTTCTAACTATTGTATTTTGCTTCCTTAGTTACGAAAACACAGAAATGGCTTTGCACTATGGTGTAATGTTGAGAGAGTGCATACGTCACCAGAGTGTTGCAAGGTGAGCACAAACAAATGGTTGGTTTAATTCATATCAGAGGATCTATATTGTCTTTGATTGAGAGAGTAATCTTTTCCTTGAAGTCCTAAAATTTGTTGTCTGTTTAGACTTTTAAGTATACTGAAAAATATGCTCTATTTATCTTTTCATATACAAGTCAAAGTGTGTTGTGACGTCACCATCAGAACACTCATTTGAATTTTTTCATTTGGAATTGCTTTTTTCTTCTATCTTTTTTTTTTTGGGTGTCTCGTCAATGTTTTTTGGCACTCCTTTGACTGGTTTGATTGCAGATATGTCCTGGAATCACCACACGTGAAGAAATTCTTTGATTATATACAACTTCCAAATTTCGACATTTCTGCAGATGCCGCTGCAACTTTCAAGGTTAAGTATAATTGACAAAGATATTAATAACAAATTTTTCTCATCCCTCTTTCTCTCTCTCTTTTGCTATTTGATTTTGTGTCAGACAGTACAGTCTTTTTGTGGATATAAATGTCATCCACTGTCAAAGGTTAACATCAAATGACTTTCAAAAATCTGCCTTTTGCATTAGAGAATTTCCAAGAGTATATTCTGTACTGCCACACTGCAATGTTGGACATGTTCAATACCGTACTGCATCATTGCACACAACTATTATCAAATGGTTGAAGTGTATGCAGCTTATGCAACTGCTGACAACCTTGATTTTTGTCTTACATCCGTATTTGATAGCGTCCACTATTTTAGTTCACTTACCCCCGGCCCTAAAGAAAGAACCCCAAACTTCAATTTAAATGCTCTGGAAAATTATTATTTGTGAAATTTTATTTGTCTTTATTGCACATTTATGAAATTTATATGTTTCATTCTTATACTTGCTACTAGGTTGGCATCAATCTGAGCTCTTGTATTGTTTTGTTTCAGGAACTCTTGACAAGACATAAATCTACAGTAGCCGAATTTCTTTCTAAGAACTATGATTGGGTAAGTTCTGCTTTCACTTATGTTTAGATAGAAACTCGCACAGGTATATACGTGTCTGTGTTATGTATTTCCTTTGTTATGTCCAAACACACTGTGGATCATAGGGCATGTCCAATCCTCTTGATTTTTTAATAATTTGAAGGTGCAAAAGTTTTTTAGTGAGATTAGAGAAAGATGATAAGCTGATTTATTTATCTGGTGCTGTGAATCTGCAATTATGGAGACATAAAGCAGAATCTAAAGCACGAATTCAAATCCTATAGGCTCTGTAAAGTTTTAACTTCTAATGGTTTTGCCTATAACCCAAATTCAAATCCTATATATGGGTCTATGTACGTGTGTATATATTTCCTCAGTTATGCACACGGACACTGGAAAATAGGGCACGTCTGATCCTCTTAATTTAAAAGAATTCAAAAGCAGACGAAGGTGTTAGCGCAAAATACTTCGGGTGAGATTAGAGAAAGACAATTTGCCAATTTATTTATATGCTAATGCATTAATATCAAGATGTTGTAACTGTGCAATGATGGGAGACATAAAGTAGAATCTATTACGTGGTTATCTGTTCAATTGAGTAGCCTCACCTCCTTATTTTATTGTATCCTTCTTTGCTTTTTTAAACTACATGTTTTGAAGTTACATATCTATGATGAAAACACGAATTGCAACATTTGAATTGTGTCTATATTTCCTGTTGCGGCCATCCTTGCCAAATTTTGGTCAGAGCTTGACACCTGTAACTTTATCTGGATTTCAGTTTTTTGCTGAATTTAATTCAAAGCTGCTGGAATCCACCAATTATATTACAAGGCGTCAAGCTGTCAAGGTAGGGGAAACATATGACATCCCACACATATATTCTTACAACAATCAATGAAGCAATTCTCTAAGCATCTGTACCTGGGAAAATGGCTTCATTAAAATCTGCTTTGTTATTACTATTGATAATTTTACTGTTTATTAAAAAGGCTTCTTCAATTGTGACAGCTGTTGGGAGATATATTATTGGATCGCTCCAATGCAGTTGTGATGACACGATACGTGAGCTCAAGGGATAACTTGAGGATTCTTATGAATCTTCTCAGGGTATGATCAGTTTGAGATTGCTTGTTATCATGCTTTGTTGTCTGATTTTAGGAAATAACTGATGTACCATCCTGACATTTGCGATGTCCACTAGATAGATTGTTAGAACATCAATCTAATACATGATTCGACTTAACTTTTATGTGATGAATCCTCCTTTGCAGGAATCAAGTAAGACCATCCAGACAGAAGCATTTCATGTTTTCAAGGTACAACTTAAAGAGAGAAATTGTGAATGTTTTCTTTGGTTCTTTTACTTAGTGTGTTTTTTTTCTTTCCTCTCTTATTATTATTATTTTTTTCCTTCCTGCAGCTTTTTGCTGCAAACCAAAATAAGCCTCCCGACATCGTTAGTATACTTATTGCAAATAAGAGCAAGCTTCTTCGTTTGTTTGCTGATTTCAAGACAGACAAAGGTATAAAAGAAATACATCTCTAGTGACAGTATGCTGCTCTTCTGTACTGTATTGACTTTTTTTTCCCCCTCTTGTGTGCAGAGGATGAACAATTTGAGGCAGACAAAGCTCAAGTTGTGAAAGAAATAGCTGCCCTTGAGCCTAGAGAGTAACCATGAGGTGAACTTGGTTGCTTCTTGTAATCATTTTACATAATTTATATTAATCATAGCCCAAACCTGATGACAATATAAGTATCCAACGAATATATGCTAAAATTACATATTCTTGTAGTGAGAGGAAGAGAGAAATAAAGAGACAGGAATTGAGTTTATCCAATACTTGTCTTTTCAGGTTGTTTTAATGAGTGGCCGAGGAACCTTGTAAAAGAACTTGTTCCTGTTTTATTGACCTTTTCTTTTGTTGTAAGCTGTCATTATACCCCTTGATACACTGTTTAAAGCCATATAGGTTCCCGCTCTACGAGCTTCCATGTTCATGTTTTTCCTTCTTTTTTTTTTCTTCGATAAATTGGGGGAAGTAAACCTTCCAAACTTCTGACAGGACACATTATCAACCGTGTAACTTAAAGTTATTTTTGTGGATGGAATTTAGGGGTGAGCACTACTTGTTTTAAACGAAAAAACCGAAATGGAAATATCAATTTCGGTTTGGTTTTTGTTTTTGTTTTTGTGGGTTTAATTAACTGAAAACTGAACTGAAATTGTTAAAAAACGAATTGTCACTTTTAGATGGAGTTGCAAGTATCCTCACTGAGGGAGTAGATTTGCTACTGACCTATGTTTATGGTAGGATTAGAACCAAGTTTATATATTTGGTTATATGATGCAAATGTTTTTGTAAAATTATATATTGACTAAAAAATATTAAATTTGATGTTTTTTAAGTGTATTTTTTTGTTTTGAATATTGGTATATTGAATTTATACCAAAACCACCAGAAAAAGCATTAAATTGATGTGTTTTCAATCTAAATGTATTTTAAAAAACATTTTGAAATGCATTGAAAATACATTACTAGATCTTGAGTAAGGAAAGTAAGCAGATGGAACATGTTATGTGCTCGTGGATGCTTAAAGGGCACACTCCTCTGCCATTTCCACCCTTGATATTACCATGATGGTAGTGGTTGTGGTGGTGGTGGTGATCCAATGTATATAACCTTTCAAGATTAGGGTTTTCATGACCCCATTTGTCCAGATGCATTAGCATCACAGTATTTTTAGGACATTTGTGAAGGGAAGCTTCCTTTGGTGGGCCAAACAGAAACAAATGCTAGAATTTGTACCAAAATTCCATCTTTCCTGGCTCAAAAAGAATCATTCTCTCTATTATTAAAGATGAGGCTTTCCATGTGGGACTTTTCATTGCAAGCACAAGTATATTCTAAGCATCTTCTTCAATTCCAAAATCAGAATATACTCTGCTTGACTGTTACTACTTTCTACTGCCTTCTGTTGCCATGAAAAGCAGATGCCCTAATCATGGCAATGGTAATTCTTTTGGGAAAACTATGACTATACCCTCCACTTATTATGTATGTTTCATTTTGGTCCTTCGACTCCTAATTTCATCAATATTGCCTTCCATCTATCAAAATAGTGCAGTCTCTCTCCCTCATTAGTTGGATGTTAATTTTCCCATAAATTACCTTCAAAATTAAGTGTGCCAATTCATATCCAAATTCCTCATTTTTAACATGAATTAGCACCAAATTAATCATCATTCATGTTTATGATTTGATTTTGAAAATCCCCATTATTTAACATACAATCCATATTTATAGTCATGGATTAAAAAACCTAAAATCTAATTAAGTGTTTAAAAAATGTAAATTCTTGTGAACATTTATTTTTCAAAACTAACATTAATAAAAAAAAAATTACTTCTCTCACTAAAACATAAAATCACCATGAAAATAACTCATAGATCATACTTTTATACTTTTATGTGAGAGGAGGTAGTACAACTCCATATACACTAAATAATCTCTTTAAAATTAAATTATAAAGGTTTAAGATTGTGATTAAAGGGTTGAAATAGATTGAATTGGAAGTAAATTGTTAAACGAGTTCACATCAAATTTAACGAAACTAATTAACGTCGAATTAAAGGAAGAACTTAAAAAAATTTGGAGAAGTTAAGGGTAGTATCGGTACAATTAGGAAGTGAAGAATCAAACCAAAAGCTATCCAATTGATGGAGATCTTGTTTGTTTTTATTTACTAAGAAGGAAGTAACCCATAAGAAAAGGGTTAAAATAAAAAAAGGACACCATTAAAGGACTTCTTTTTATTTTTTACCTGGAATTTGCTGCATGAAGTACGCTACACCGTAAACAAAGTAGGAAAAAAAAAAAAAAAAAAAAAAACAGAAACCAAACGGTACTTGCAGCGTATTTATAAATTAGTCCATCTAAGTTTTTAAAATAATTAAATAGTTCCTATATGTTCAATAAATAATTAATTAGTCCCTTTATTTTAAATATATTTTCAACTTAATCATTTTCATTCTTTTTCAATTTATTTTTTAATAAATATAAAAATTAAATAATAATTATTATTAATGAGAAAAAAGCTATTTTTTTTAAGAAAAAAATATTAAATTTGTTATTATCAACACTAGTTAAAAGCTAAATAATTAATCTTTAAACAAATAGGGACTATTCAATTCATTATTCCAAACTAGAAGGATTAATGTATAATTTACCCGTCCATTTTGCGGCTGGCTGCTTTTGCTACCTTATATACGTATAAAACTCAAGACAAACAGCTTTGCAGCATCATCATCCCCAAAATCTACTCTCTCTGTCATTCTCTTCTTTCTGCATACAAATTTGTAAACATGGCACAAAATGGTAGGACCCCGTTATCCGTTTCTTTTTCATTGCTTTCTTTGTTTTTTTGGGATTTCTTGGTTCATTTTCAACATGGGATCTTGATGATTTTGCATGTTGTTTTTTGTTTGTTTGTTTTTATTTGGATGTTTTAGCTTCTCTTTTAGAGTTCTTGGAAACTGCTGTTGAGGCAGCAAAGAAAGCTGGAGAGGTGAATTGTAAATTTTAGTTTTTTCCTTTTTTCTGTTCCTTTTCTGGTCTCTCAAATTTAGTCTCATTTTCATTTCTTGTTTGACTTGTAGATAATCCGCGAAGGATTTTACCAGACCAAGCATGTGGAGCATAAAGGCTCGGTACCCATCTTTGCTTCTCTTGGGTTCTTTTATTTGTAGTTTTTTTCCTCGTTGATCTTGAATGTAGAGTGAGTTTGTGTCGTACTGTGCTTGGCAATTCTTTTTTTTTTCCTAAAGAAAGGAAAATTGTTGATCAAATGCTGCTAAATCATCTTGAATTCAGATTAGTGATTGATTACATCTAATTGGCAGCTGAATTTAGCATGCAAGGGGAGCTTTAAGATCCCGGGTAGTAAAGTTTTAATCTTGGCATTGAGGTCACCAAGTTTTGTAACAAAATTGGCAATTGAATTTAACATGCCCGAGAGATTTAGAATGGAAATTGAATCAGCATGGTTGGAGTGCTATAAAGCCCCGGTTTATAAAACTAATGACAACCAAGTTTTGATCTTGGTATTGAAGTTACCGAGTTTGTAAAAGAATTGGCCATCATTGCAGCTGCTCCTTCTATTTTTTAATTCTAGCATAGTTCCTTAGAACCTGCAGCAACAGAATTATGAACAGAGGAGCATTGTTGAAAAACCGATAAGTTGCCTGCCCATTTGTGTTAATTTAGCCAGGATAGAAATCCTGTAGTTAAACAAACTTGACTATCTGCGTGTGATTACCGAAAATTGTTTACTTTATTTCTCAATTGCAGGTGGATTTAGTTACAGAGACTGACAAGTCTTGTGAAGATCTCATTTTTAACCATCTCAGGAAGCAGTACCCCTCACATAAGGTTAGCTCATATTTTCTACTTTCTGCTCCCTGTAGTTAACGAATTCGAAGTTGAAAATTTTCTTTTATGATTCTCCTTAGTTCATTGGGGAAGAAACTACTGCTGCCAATGGTGTTACGGAACTGACTGATGAACCAACTTGGATAGTTGATCCTCTTGATGGAACAACCAACTTTGTCCATGGGTAAATGCTATTTCCTAATTTTCGTTTGGTCAAGGCAATTTCTTCTTGTTTTCACAAATGCACATCACTTTAATGTATGGCAACATGTTTGGATGTAGGTTCCCCTTTGTGTGCACTTCTATCGGTCTTACAATTGGAAAAGTTCCCACAGTAGGGGTTGTTTACAACCCAATAATGGATGAGGTGAGATTTTATGCTTCACATGTTAGCTCAGGTGGCCATATACTTTCTGGAACTTTCAATGATTAGAAATTTTATTTAGAACATGCGGAGTTTACCCAATGCTTTAATATAGCTTGGTAATCCTTTACATGTAAGCCTGATGTGGATGCAACTTTCGGCACACAATGAACACTGCCCACTATTTGATGGATTTTTGCTTTATAATGTTGAGTCTGTCGATATTCAAATATTGGGCAAAATAGTATCTGCTTACCTTAAGCAGTTTGTCTATCAGATATGTGGTTTTATTTTTGCCCACTTAGTATCTAAGTTACTGTAAGATTGATATATGCCAAAATGTTTTAGAATTTGAAATGTGTTCCAATAATTTGCTAAACAAATTTGGATTTATAAATGCAGCTTTTCACAGGCATCCTTGGAAAAGGTGCTTTTCTGAATGGAAAACCCATCAAAGGTGTGTTTCTGAATTGACTATTGTCAATCTCCAGATTTCGATACTTTTTTATGCTAATCTTTCCATGATACTCAAGCAGCTGCATACTTGTGTTTCAATTGCAGTATCATCTCAAAGTGAGCTTGTGAAATCTCTTCTTGCATCAGAGGTATGCTTTTCAGCACCGTCTTTATCTGCCCAAAGTTGCAATTGAGAGGTCCTTATAAACCAGAAGCAAACTTGAGGTGAAAAATTTAATAAATCGATGGCAATGACTAGCCTAAAGGTGTCAGCTAGCTTAAACCGAAACAATAATTTGATCCCACTAATTATACATTACAAATTGGTTTCTTGTTAGATTCATTTATTAAGGCTTCTGGTAGTGCCTTGTACGCAATGACTTTCACCTTTAACCCCACATAGCGTTGGACCAATTTTAGGTGTTTGAGTAAGGCTAGTCTTCTTTTACCTGTAAATTGATTTTGCTGGCATGCTACCTAACCCTTTCCCGTTAGTTTGTAATATTGATCTGAGGCATAGGAATCTATCTCCCTGAATCTGAGAAATGCAGATCCATGGTTTCTGAATGTATTTAGGTTTTACCGTGTTGTACTGATTAAAAAGTACACTATAAAGTAGTGCCTTATGTGCCTCATGTGGAATCTGGTTAAACCTCCTTTCTACTTCTATTCTACTCCTTTATGTTTCACTGGAAATGAAAACTGATCAAATTAAATTCTGGTAAGATCAGGTAGGAACAAAACGTGACAAGGCCACTGTGGATGCCACTACGGACAAAATTAACCGCTTGCTTTTCAAGGTAAGACCAGAACCTGCCATAGAAGCCATGTGCTTTGGTAAAATGTGTTGGTGTACATAAAACATATCTGATTCCCTTGCTATCAGGTGAGATCTCTTAGGATGAGTGGCTCCTGTGCATTGAATCTATGCGGTGTTGCATGTGGAAGGATTGATTTGTTTTATGAAACCGGATATGGAGGTCCATGGTACGTATTTGTGATTGATTTCAGCAAGGTTTGGCAGGATGCTTGATTGATATAATCTACTCTTGAACTCAGGGATGTAGCAGGTGGTGCTGTGATTGTCAAAGAAGCTGGAGGACTCGTTTATGACCCGTAAGTGACACTTGATTTATATCTTCTTCTACAACTTAACTGAGGGAGTGCGAGATGTAGAGGGGAAAGCCCCATCCATTAAAATGCAAGAACAGTGTTTATCGAAGGTCAACTTGCCTTGGTCATTGTCTTGTGACGTTCACAAATCTATCATTTGGGGTTGCAATAGGTCGATGATTTTAAGAACACAAATTTGCTAAGATTTGTTGCCTTGGTCATTGTCTTGTGACATTCACAAATCTATCATTTTGGTTTGCAATAGGTCGATGATTTTAAGAACACAAATTTGCTTAGATTTCATTGAGAATATAAGGCCTGTACTAATATTTTCACGGTTGTTGTTTTGCATCAGATCTGGTAAAGATTTTGACATCACTTCTCAGAGAGTTGCAGCTTCAAACCCTCTCCTGAAGGATCCATTTGTTGAGGTTTTGCGGCAGTCAAAATGAGAAAGAAACTATTATAATCAACGAAATCACATATTAGTTGTTTAAGACAATTTAGTTTTCTATCTTCTTATAGACAGCAGCATCTCATGATGCACTCGTCTATCGATATCGGTCAAAGTTCAATCATCGCCAGCTGAGAAAGTGTGATATCAATAATGATTCTTCCAATTGCTTTGTGGTTTTTTAACAATGCCAACTTATCTGTAGACTCCGATTGGAATGCCAACCATTGTTGGTCATACAAAACGACATTGTTAGACTAATAATTTTTATGCAAGTTTTCTTCACTTTTCATTGAGTATAGATCATGCCTGGTTGATCCATTGGCTGTCCCAGATTTACCGAACCTGTGAGCTTGGTTCTCCAAACAGAACCGAATTCAGTATGAGATTATTATGTCTTTTGCCGTCAAGTGTTCTGCGGCCATAAGTAGCAAAAAATGCTACAAAATGCAGACAAGGAATTCTTGATTGAACCTATGAATTACTTGCAAGTTTCATGGGGTATCAAATATCAAGCATACAAGCAGTTTGGTTTCTTTCTTCTGCCTTTGGACATCAAGAAATTCAAAGCAAATCGAGATGAAAATCCTCAAGAAAACAAGGGAAAAAAGAGGGTATTTAATAAATAAACAGATAATCAGATACATGTGATATGATCTCAAGGACCATGTGCAGGCTCAAACTTCCTAAGACTAACCAGTGAGAGAATCACTTCTAACCCTAACCTCCCTCAGCATATGGGGCCTCCATAAATATACATAAGGGCTGCACCAACTCTGCAAAAGCAAAACATAAAAGAGGGAAAGATAAACAGAAAGCCGCAGCTGATATCTCACAATCTCATTTTACACCCCTTGGTGCTGTCTAGCACCATATCCATTAGTCCCATTTGATCCGTTCATGCCACGAGGCATCTTTCCATCATTCTCTGACCTTTTCCTTTTCACGACAATATACCATGTATAACCTTCCAACCAGACAGCATTGAAGGCCAGAGCAGCAATGACACCAATGTATGCGTTCTTCCACTTCTCAGCAGGGTTCAAAATTGCGAAACCTTTGAATATGTTGATGATGCTAAGGGTGATCACACTGTATCCAACCAAGTGGTGGTAGATGTTCCAGTAAAATCTGTACTTGTGATCAGTTTTTGGCCTTAGAAGCAAAGCAAACACCTGAAATCCAAAGCAAACCTTTCTTTCAATACACTAATACAACACACTCAAAAGCTATGTGACACACAGAATTTCTGATTACCTGAAGGGTTCCAAGGCAGAAAAGGATGATGCCGATTGTTCTATGAGCATCGTATTGAATACTGGGTGATTCACTGCCAAGTTTTAGACCAGTGCCCCATCCAGCAACACCAACGATATAGGCCATAGATTGGCAGCTAACATGGACGTAAAACCATGCAGGGTCTGCAGATTTGAATACCTTCAAGTACCTTGCTATCAAGGCACCAATCGGCATCAATATACCCCAACTGACTGCATTTAGCACCCCATGAATCTGAAATTTTATCAAATAGGAAAGAATTTTTCTGATTTAGAAACACTCATAAACAGAGCAAAAAAACAGAACAAATGGAGACAGAGTCAAGCCAAAACAAAACTCAAAACTGAAAACAATGAACCATATATGAAGAAAGAAACACTGATTCTAGGGCTTACATTTCTCTTCCTAATTTTGTCATCCCCCCGGTAGAACTAGATTCTCCAGAAAGAAGATTTAAAGTCCCCATGGATTTGACATTAGACCCACTAGTGGTATGAATCTGAGGAGTATTACCAGAAAGTGGACCATCTTGCCAAACCTGGTTAACATTAGTACTACTGTTCGAAAGTCCTATAGTAGCAAAAATGATTATCTCGTTCTTTGCTGATGTAGCTGATAAATCTGAAACATCAAAACTAAGTTTCCCTTCTTGCAATGAGGTTTGGTAACTACTGATAGGAGATGTGTAAGCTCTCATGGTTCCATCAGTTCGTCGGTACGCAATAAGGGCTTGTGAACCAGCCATGCCAGTTGAGGTAGGATTGATAGCCCATGCAACCCACATAGAGGAAGTGATTCCTGTGTGTCTATATGCAATTTGAAGCTTGTTTGATGATGAATCATAGTTCCAATGAAGATATGAGTTCAAGACTGGAAGATCATTGCATGCCCTGAAGATTTTGTTGCTAGAGAAAGCATAGCTTTTACATGATTGAGCTGTTGAGGAGAAAACCATTGACATGAGAATTGAGAGAGATAACACAAGTTCTAGCATTCTAGCCATAATGGCTAAAGAAGAAACAAAACCTGAGAATTATTTTCTCTCTGACTAGACACAGTCAAGAAATTGTAAGAATTCTAGCAATGAGATGCTTAGGTTGGAGAGAAATGGAGTTAATGTATAGAGAGTTTTGGTGGGTTGGGTTGTTGGACTCTTTGGTGGCCATGACTCTCTTTATAAAGAGTTGTTACAAATATTCCCATTCTTTAACAAAAAAAAAAAAAAAAAAGAAAAAGAAAGAGAAAGAAAGAAAGAAAAAAGGTTTTCAAGTTCAAGGTTGGTGTTTTTTTTATTTTATTTTATTTATTATTACTATAGATAGAAAAAATTTTCACTTTTTTTTGAGATAGGTCCAAAAAGAGTCTATAAAGAGTAGCCACATATTTTTCCATTCTTTAACCAAAAAAAAAAAAAAGGGGGTTTTAGAGATCAAAGGTTGCTTTTAAAAAAAAATTTATTTATTATTACTATAGATAGAATAAATTTTTATTTTTTTCCTGAGATAGGTCCAAAAAGAGTCTATATTTAGCACCATACTAAAAAGAAATAAGGGTTTTTAAAAAAAAAAGAAATCAAACTCATATCCTAATGAATCAAAAACACTTTTTTATCGCTCCATCTATGATTTTTTATGTTGGTTTTTTCCTTTTTTAATAAAAATATGCATGCACCTATACTACAATATCTATGTCGATGCATGTATTATTTATGAATAATTAATATTTTTACATGTTAAATGCATTTATAATATTCACATAAAGTCACAAGATTTGTATCCTTAGATATTATAATTTCTTTCAAAAATATATGTGTAATTTTTTTATTTTCTTTTAGGGTTTTGTTTGTTAGTTTGTAACCATCATTACTTCTCACACCTAAACCTGCCCAACTCCAACAACATGGTATAAATGGAGCTATCAAAGTAAGTCCCATAGGTGGTCGTTGGTTAGTGAGGGAGTTGTTGGTCGTCTAGGGCAAAATTCTCTCTAAGGAAGCTCTTGACCAATGCCAAATGTCCTATCTTTCTTCAATTTGAAATTTAATTTTAAGGATCTAATTTTTTTTTTCTCAATAAAGAAAGGAACTCCAAAAATATGATACGAAATAATTGTTGTTTTTTCAACTATATTTTCAGGAAAAAATGTATGAAATGATATAAATAATAACATATTAAATCAATTCATTTATGAAAATGTACATAATTATTGTATTGAATAAAATATATACGAAGCTTATCGATTTTATATTTTTATTGATTGCATTCGGGCAATTTATATTTCACAAAATCATTGTGATCTTTGAGATTGGATGTCGTATCAAATGATAAAAAACAATTAATGCATGATAATCTAAATATTGGTAACAATTGCAACAAATCCGAAGAATTATGGAAGGAAAATACACAATCCAATTTTTTTCCTTAAAAAAAAATAATTGGTTTTAAAGGATCCTAAACTTTTGGTTATTAAGGAAAAAAATAATAATTTGTGTCTATTTTGATTTAGGTTTTAAAACTTTTTTTTATTTTCAATTAAGTCTTTTCATTTTTTTTTTTACCAGTCCCAAGTAACATTAGATGCATATGAGAGATATGCGAGCAATTAAATAATGATATATGTCAGTTTTACTTGTGTGAGAGTATTTTTTTCAAAACAAGTATCATTATTTTAATAAATTATATGTCTTTTATGTATGTCTGATGTCCTTTGAGATTAATTGGTCTACGAAACGAATTGATTTAATTATAGCCTAAAAAAATATTCGGGATTGAAATTAACAAAAGTTAAGAATATTTTTTATAACTAATTAGTCAAAAAAAAAAAAAAGTGGAAAAGAAGTCAGTTGATCATGGTGGGAAATGAGTTGAATTGTTTGAGAGTCCCAAAGAAGTTGGACAACAAAAAGTCAAGCAATTTAATTAAAAATTAAAATTCCCTAAACGAATCGTTTTAGCTGCTAAAGTAAAGACCAAATGGAGAAAGGATAGGTTGGGATTAGGTATATGGTTAATCAAATAGGGGACCGGTTTTCTGGTCAAGCCAAATCTCTGCTAGCCTCGTGTTTCTAAAATTTGTTGGCCACGTGGAGGTTACATGCGAGGTCAAATGGTTGGTCATCTAATTCAGGGACCCACAATTTGCAGCCCTCAAGACATACCTGCTCCACCAGCAGTCCACCACCATTTGTCCTCATGCACCGCCGCTTTATTCGATCGCCTCTCTCCGCGTTCCATTATAACGATAGATTTTTTTGGCAAACCTCAAACATACCCCCAAGCTATATATATAGTCTAATTCTCATCCCTCAAGTTTCAGAAATTCTCAATCAACTTTTTATTTCTATATTTACCATGAATCCCCTACAAATTATACTTTTTATTGTAAGAAAAAGCATCTTTTTTATAGAAAATTTAATGTTTTACCTAAGGATGATACTAATACAAAAGTTGTTCGTGAATGAAATTGATATTATTCCAATAATTAGAGGATATGTTTGAGAGTTTCCCTTCTTTTCTCTTTTGGGAATCATTATTATTATATTGGGAAACTTCATCCGAGATAATTTGATTGATGATTATGTGATAATTGTTTTATTAATATATGCTTAATTAATTAAGATGTATGATAGTAAGAGAGATTAATCCCATGCATAGCATGATCAAATACAAGAAGACAAAAATATGGATCTTGCTTGTTTTGTGTTATTTGTTTTGCTATTTTGATTGAGAAAATAGGATTTTTTTTAAAAAAAAAAAAAAGAAAAGAAACAAGAGAAATCATATTCATGGTTCAATAGAAGACAACAATGAAGGAAATCTTTGCAATTGTTTTTTTTTTTTCCAATTATTTGTGAGCAAAGCAAATCCAAGTAATTGTCCTAATTGCCTTGATCAATATATTATACATTTTGACAAAGATTTTCCTAATTGCTCAACACCAATTTACTCAAAACATTTTCCATAATTCTAATTGCATCTCTTTAACTTGGGTTAATATGATATGCATTAGCATCTCCTTCAAGTTAACGTATAAGTATTTTTTTAAAAATCATATAAGTTAAAATGATTCAAATTCTTCAGAATTTTAAATCATTTAAAAATTAATGTTTTAATTTCTAAAACTTCTTCGAACTTTAAATCATTTAAAAATCAATCTTTTAATTTTTAATTTCGAGTTGGACTTTTTTCTCTACTTATTTTTTATTTGAAATTGAATCATTTTATTAGGTTTCTATCAATTCTAACTATGAAAATACATGTGACTTATACATAGTTGATTTTTAACTCCTCAACAATTAAAAATCTATCAAAACTTATGAATATTTTATTATCTCTCTTTTTCCAAAATTTTTTTTTCTTTTAAAATATTCTTTAATTGCTTACTTCTCAGAATTTTGACAAAAATAAACAAGTTTTTTAAAAAATATTTACATGCTTTACATATTTTTAGCTGCTAAAGAATTGTATTTGTGAGTAAAATATATAAGAACCTCACAAAATAATCTAATTTCAAATAAAAAATAGTTAAATGAAGTACAATTTAAAACTAAAAATTGAACAACTGATTCTTAAATTATTTAAAGTTCAAGAAAAACTTACACCGTTCAGCCAATTATAAATTCTAATATACATACGTATATAGTTAAAACATGTAAATATCTACATATCTTGTTTTATATGGTTAAAGTTCAAGAAAAACTTAGACCGTTCAGCCAAGCGTATATTCTAATATACATACATAAGTAGTTAAAACATGTGAATATTTACACATTTTGTTTCATATATATATATATATATATATATATATATATATATATATATATATATATATATATATATATATATATATATATATTGAGGCTACATCTCTTTTCGATTGAGTTTTAATCAAGACATTCACAATTTTATTTTATTTTTCACAATCTCTTCTGATTCATATATTAAACTATAATATGGAAAACAAGAAATCCAGTTTACTAAGAGGATAATTTCTAAAAGTTCTTCTTCGAAAGGCTCTACCATATCCCACCATAGACATATGGTAATGTAAGCATGATGTTACCCTTGCGTCACAAATGAAGCATGGAAAGGTCACAATCGTGGCAAGGAATTAATGATCCAAAATAAATTCCAACCGAAAGAGAACAACTGCCCCCATATCAAAACACTTTGAGCATTCTTTATAACTAGGTAGAGTATATAGCGCAATGGACTTCTTTAATTTCTTGAAGGTTTGAAGTTTGAAAATGAAGACGCATGTAATCATCACTTTTTCACCCCTAGATGTTTGCATTCTATATCATGTCACCATCACTTTCCTTCTTGTTCATCACTTGTCAAATTGGTGGATCTTCTAGGGTTTTCGAGCGTAAAGTTCTAATAAATAATTGAAAAAACAATAATTAAAATGATATTTTAGTAAACAAATATGGATTTATAAACAAAGTTCAAAATTTAATTTTTATAACCAATGTTGTTGAGAATTTATTCTTAAAATACATAAAATCATACGTAATGAAATATTTTTTAATTATTTTTAAAAAGAAATTAATCTTGAAGTACATGCATAAAAACCAGCTTGAAAACATTTTTATTGTTGAAACTAAAAATATATTTTTTAAGATATATTACCATCCATTTTTTCTTGAAGAAATTCTTACATGAAACTTCAATGTACATGTTGTTGATCAAAAGACTCTATTTATAAATTTCAAAGAATTTTATAAATTCCTGTAGATATTAGTTTTAAGATTTTATTTTTTCAAAAAAATAAACAAATAGAATATTTATTTTTAACCAAAAAAAAAATCTCTAAAGATTGACTAGAATTTTGAGAAGATCAACCATATGGATGCTATAAATGCTGGTGGTTGCCTTAGGTCGAGAGTTGCTGTACAAAGCAGGAATTCAACGTAATGAACAAGAGAATCATTGCCATACTAGGCTTCAAGCATAGAGACATGTGGGGCAAGCATTTTCTTCTTCCTCATTTTTCTTTTTAAGGTGCTAATAACAGAAATTATGATGTTTGTTTATTTTATTTTTTTGTTTTGTCCTTGTGGTGCCAAAATATTAAAGACATGGAAGAGTAACCATTTTTTTTTTAAGAGTAAAATGAATTGACAGCATATAATATTTACCATAATTATATTTATCGGATTTGGCTTTTCTTATACTTCAAGAAGTACGATCCTTAATTTAAAGTTTGATCTAGGTTGTTAATTAAAAATCAATGATAAATTAGTCTAGTGATAAACGAGTTGGTCTATAAATGAATTTTCTATCAATGTGCAGGATTTCTATCAATATGCGGGATTTGAATTTAAGAGTTACATTTATTAAAAAGGGTTAAAATATGTCGCTCTTATCCCAAACATAATTAGTCATATTTATAATATAGAATAAAAATATTTGAAAAAACTATAAAAAACAAAACGAACGAGATTCGAAGTTAGTATGAAAGTGGTAAATTAGAACCTTTTTATACTTGTCACTAGTAATTAATAATTTCATATGACTAAAAAAGAAATTCTATTTAGTAGTTTCAAATGACGGATTTGAATTTCACAAATTTGATATATTATGTTTTTTCATGATGTAATATCTCAATGCTGAAGCCCATAACACTTCCATTTTAATTAGATTAATGACTCAATCTGTTCTTATATAATAAAAAAAATTATTTAATTTGTCTTTATATTTTTAATTAAATTAGTTTTATTATTAAATATACATTAAGTGTGTAATATATTATTTTGATAAGATTTTCAGATTAAATTATCAAAATTAATCATATCATTTGCATATAAAAATCATGATTCGACCGGTTTGCAAATGTATTTTGAAAATAAAAATTAGTCATATGTAAATTATGTGAATAATTTTAGTGGTTTATTCTGAAAATCTTTAAAAATATATATATATATATATATATATATATATTGGAAACTTAAACGTTTGTATGTCCAAAGATAAAAGACAAATTAAATAAATTAAGTTATTGATTCTTGTAATTAAGAGCAATTATAGTAAAATGATAATAATAATCATTTTTTCATTTGAAAAGAACAAGTTGCTGGTTAGATAAAATTTCAGCATGCATGGTCAGTGGTTTGGTTCAGCAAGTAGAAGTTGTTATGTTATTCTATGACATGAAACCATTGGGAAAAGCCTAATAGGAAGATACCAAAATTGACGACTTTTTAAGGATGTCTCCTCTTCACACTTGTAAAACCATTGTTGAAGAAGCATGGCCTCGAGATCAAGCAAATAGATTGACGGATCCATCAGATTCACAAATCTGTCCACTAATATTGACTGAAGTACTATTAATTTCATTGCGTGGTGGCCTATGCACCAAATGTAAAGCTAATCTTTTGAATGTACAAGTGTTAGATAACGTGCAAAACTAGGCATTACGAATTGTGAGGGTGAATATTTTATATTGGAGTGTCAATCTTTAGCAAAGTTGGTAAGATTATGACTAGTGAGAATCTCAGTTAAGCTAATCTACAGCTTAATTATACATGTAAATATAATACATGTACATAACTTCCCTTAAACTGTAAACACATGTGATAACTAGGGTTTTTATATACATATAGTACGGATCAGATTTTGCATTAATTTAAAATAAGTTTATTATTTCGTGAGCTAAGCTAATGTCGAACATATCCGGTATTTGATCGAACCGTCATGTAGGCTAAACCAAGCTAAGCATAATATTATTAAAGAACATAGTTAATACTTTCATATGTCTTTATATGATAAGCCAATTTTTCCATCTGTCACTAAAAAAAAAAAAAAAAACACATGTAATATGTCTTTATATATTGAATTGATTTTTAATCTACTCTTTTAGTTAAAATTTTTGACTAAATTAGGTCAAATTAAGCATGTGATTTGATAAAAATATCTTTTTTATTTAGTAAAAATATTAATAAGAAGTTTAATTTTTAAAAATTGATCGAAAATTTTGATTAAAATGATAGATTAAAAACAAACTCAAAATATAAAGAAAGATTGGATGCGTTTTTTTTTTAATGACACATTAGAAAATTAGCATATTATACAAAGACACATAACAATATTAACCCTAAAAAATAATTATAACTAATTATTCATAAATAATAAAAATTAAACATTGATGTTTGTCAAATTAAGTTTGTCCACACGTCATCATTTCAAACTCGAATTCAATAAAAGAAAATTACAAGAAAGGTATCTGTATTATA